AACAACTGTCTGTTAGAGCGGACGGAGGTGAGAAGGACGTCCTGGAGATTAGTGAACTTGAAAGTGACGCCGTCCTCGGGCGTTTCGCACCCCGCTCTCTCACTCTCTTTAGGTGTGTGTGTGTGTGTGTGTGTGTGTGTGTGTGTGTGTGTGTGCGCGTGCGAGCGAGCGAGGAGGAGGCTTGGGGAGTTAGAGTGTGTACGCACGCGTGTACGTGCGCGCACACGGGAGCTTCTGCGCTAAAACAAGGTTACGGAATCCAGCCTCGCCCCTAAAGAGGCGAAGCTCCGCTGACACTCGCTCGGTTCAGTTCAGTCGGAGGGCATTCCCCCCCACCACCTCCTGCGTGGGGTGGAAGGGCGGGCATTGTTTGGACAGAGTGGATCAGTCCCAGAGCCGCTGCTGCTGGTAGTGTGTGTGTGCGTGTGTGTGTGTGTGTGTGGGGGGGGGGCTGCACCTATATGGTTGATGGAAACCGCGCTGGCTCCGTGCCATCCTCTTCCTGCCTTGCTTGTCTGTCTCTTCATGTCTCGCGCAGGTGTTCTCGGCTTTAAGTCTGCTTTAGCACCCCCCCCCCTTTTTTTTTCTTTTCTTTTTTTTTTCTCCACACGCAATCTCTCTGTGCCACGAGTCATTGCGCACGGAGGATTTACGCGGTGCTCTCCAGCGGAGCCCCGGAGGCGCGTTCGTGGCTGCGCCTCGCGTGACTTTCTAAACAGCTTATTTTTTTTCTTTCTCACAAATAATTTCCTTCACAGCCGGTATATCGAGTTACATTTCAGTCTGTTTTAAAACTGTTTCTACTGTGTAGGGTAGCTCGCTCTCTCTCTTTCTCTCTGCCCCCCCTCCCAACCCCCCCTCTCCGTTAAGCAGTGGTTGACAGCAGTCACATCCTGGAAAGTTGGCCTTTAATTGAAGTCGGTAGACTACGTGCTGCAAGGCGTTTTGGATGGGCTCCAGACTTGAGTCATAACGATTCTTTAAAGCTCCTCTGCGGGCTACACTGATTGCGCGTCACGATAAGCAAAAAAAGCAGCATGCAGCCGAAATCCTATTTAGGTTTTATTACCCCCCCTCCCCCCTCCCCTTTGCGCGCAGGAGTGCAGCGCCTTCCGTGCCGACTTGCGAAACACACGGGCACTAATTAGTGGTAGTGGAAAGCGAGGGGGTTAGAGTTGGTGGTGGGGGGCGCTCTCTCTGGACGATCGATGTGCCTCATTTTGTCCGGCTCCAGCTCATTGACGAGCTTATAGCAGGAGGGCCGCGGCTCCAGAATGCGCGCAAATAAATACATAAATAATAATCAAGAAAAAAATGAACGTCTTGTTGATTGCGCGAGAAGATTGGAGGACCGAGTTGGGACGTTTTGAAAGTGGGAAGGAGATTAACTGGTGGGGAGTSGGGGGCTACTTTAGTGGGCTTTGATGCAGATTGAGAGCCTTTGTTGTGTTTGGACTAAGCGGCGGTCTTAATTGGCACGGGGAGGTGGTCGGCACCTGGCTGCACCTGAAGTTAGGATTCGATGGTTTTTGAACCATAATAGGTGCTGCGATCCGGGGAATAGGATCAGATGAGCTCTACATAACTTATCTTTTTATTTATTTAACCTTTATTTATCCAGGTAAACTGTTTGAGAACCACTTCTCATTTGCAAACATGACGTTGCATAAAACATTTATTCTCCAGTGACTTGCCTTTGACTTTAATTTTGTACATAACTGCATAAAGTTACGCATTTTTGTCGCGTATTTTATGTYTGGCGTCAAATCTGTAATGTTCTCGCCTCATATTTCATGATTTAAAAAAAAGTAAATACGTTTGTCTCATTAATAGACTGTTTTCCCCAGCGCTGCTGCCTGCTGTGAAAGCCTGGAGCCTATAAGCGCTGCACGTTTTGTGTGGGCCGAGTTTATTTTTAGTGTGCCCCGTCGGACTGTTTTGCGCATCATTTTTCCACTGCGCGCTGTGAAGGCAGCGTGATCTGTTTTCCAGGTGTTGGAGCACAGATGGGGCTGCAAAAAAAAAAAAGAAAAAAAAAAGAAAAAAAAAGCCGGGGTTTTATTAGAGGGGAAGAGAAAGTTTTATTACCCGTTGCCAAAGACTTGTCTGTTAGCAAAATATGTTGTGAACCGTTGGATCAGCTGTGATTGGGTGCATAGCTCTAAAGCTTCAGAAGCTCAAGTCAGGATGATCACAATAGACAACACATAATTAGCACTAATTATCTCGCAAAACAATGCACAACCCTGTTTGGGACATACTGTACGCACGACCTTTATTTGGTTCTGTGATAAAGACTGGTTAAAAGAAATGTAAGAAACAAAATCAGCGCGTTTAYGACATATGTCATTTTATTAAAAATTGTAAGGTTAATTTGTGCGTGGCTGTCAAATACGTGCATTTGTTTACATTTAAATATTAGGTGAGTCGAACTGGACTAAGTCTTTCATAATAACATGCTTGATTCGTTAAGTTGAAATAGTTTTAGTTGATGTGAACGGATCGTGACGAATTTTTTAGGTTTGCTCTGTTTGCGCGCTCGCTGGTCAAAGTGAAGGTGTATCGTCGGAGGAGCCCCCCCCCCCCCCCCCACAAGCTTATTGTCATGTTGAGTGATGCGTGGCAGGGGGGGCTGTCAGCGTGGACCTCCGCGGGGCTCCCGAAGGACCCGCTGCGTTCAGGAGAATGGGAACAACCGTACCGCCACAATTTTAGYCCATTATCCTCCTGTTTGTCCCCGTTTCCTAATCTGGGATCAATAAGGAACCACGCGGAGAAAATTACGCACGGAGAGAGCATGTCAACACAGTCACGAGACGACTTTGCTTATCAAACCAAATAAGGCGTTTTTTTTTTCTGGGTGGGTGTCGAGAGAAAATGAGTTGAAAGACGTGCCGGTGTTTTGTCTTATATCCAGACGGAGTCGGGAGGGTTGTTTTATTGTAGCTGAGCTTTTTTTCCGCTTTCACTCATGCTTGAAAATAAAACAAGAGACTGATTCTCTCTCTCTCTCTCTCTCTCTCTCTCTCTCTCTCTCTCTCTCTCTCTCTCTCTCTCTCTC